AGAGTTAATGGGAACAGAATGTTCATCAATTTGAGAGCTATAGCTGTCAATGAAATCCTCAGTTATTTTATAACAATTCATACATTCCAATGGTACATCGGTTTGAGTAAAATTGTTTTTCCCATCTACAATACCTAATGATTTTGCTAACTTAGTAACACGATTCATAAACTGTTCATGGTCTTCTAATAAATTGGTTTGAGTATATTTTGGTTTTTTAATAACACCATGTAATGCAGTTGATTGATTACTATTATCACTAGTAGAATCAGAATCATTAAAACTTTCATCGGTCGTAAAATCAGAGGAATTATCAGCTGATGAATGATCTGTTTTGTCCCTAACATCTAATGATTCAACAGATGATTGATCATAAATTGATACAGACTCATCAGAATTGTCAGAGCTTTCATTACTTATAACATCTGAATATTTATAACTTGGCGTAAAAGATGTTTGTGTGTCGTGGTCATATAATTCAGATGATGGTCGATAATATTCATTTTCAAAGTTATTAACAATACCATCATTATCAATCATAATATAAGCATCATCCATCATAGAATTAGCTTCTGATTCTTTTTCATTGTCTAATGTTAAAGTGGATGATTGATCATGATCAGTAATAGCAACATTAGAAATTTTGTTATTTATAATAACAGAACACTCTTTGCTTAGTAAACATTTTGTTTCGTCTTCATTATTTGGTATTAGACAATCATATTTTAAATTGTCATTCATTTTAACATCTCCACTATCCGAATTTTCTTTACCACCTAATATTTCTCCATCATTCGAGTCATCTTCATCGCTCATACCTTCTACATTACTTAAATTATCTATATCACTTGTATTGTCTTCACTTAGCAAACTGTGCTCAACATCAAAATTATCACCTTTTTGATAATTGAGTTCATCTCTCAAATTATCTTCATCCTGATAATCAAGTTCCATACTGGATTCCTCTTCATCCTGTAAATTGAATTCAGCATTAAAATCTTCTTTGTCTTGAAAACTTAGCTCATTGTCTAAATCATCTTCACTCTGCCAGTTAATTTCATCGCTTAAATCATCTTCATCCTTTAAATCGATTTCATTAATCAAGTCTTTATCATCCTGCAAATTAAGTTCATTGTTCAAATCTTCTTCATCTTGCAAATAGAGTTCACTGTCAAATTCTTCTTTAATCTGCAGATTGAGCTTATCACTTAAATTATCTTTACTATGCAAATGGAGTTCACTGTCAAATTCTTCTTTAATCTGCAAATTAAGTTCATTGTTCAAATCTTCTTCATCTTGCAAATGGAGTTCACTGTCAAATTCTTCTTTAATTTGCAAATTAAGTTCAATGTTCAGATTTTCTTCATCTTGCAAATGGAGTTCACTGTCAAATTCTTCTTTAATCTGCAGATTAAGTTTATCACTTAAATTATCTTTACTATGCAAATTCAGCTCATCGTTTAAATGGTCTTTTATCTGAAAAATGGGTTTATTGTTTAAATTTTCTTCAATTTGCAAATTGAGATGATCATTAAAATTTTCTTCGTCCTGTAAATTGAGTTCATCATTGAAAGTGTCATCATCTAAATACTTATAACTAGGTGAAAGTTGAGGAATTGAATTTGTATATAATTGACAATATTCAGGATAAGAATTATCAGTAATATAATCGGTGATTAATGAATGTTTCGATTTTTCATTTATAAAGTCTGTGCTTAATGAATATTTTGATTCTTCATTTGTGTTAGTAGTAATTAATAAAGGCTTTACTTCATTAATATCTAATAATGCAATTGATGATTGATTGTTACTTATAATTGTACCATCATAACTTCCATTATTGAATATATTTTCACTACTTTCTGTGTATGTTACTTCTTCTTTGACACTAACAGCACCATATGGAAAAATTGTTGAAAGATTACTATCAAAATTACCAGAATACGTATTGCTTATGACTTCAAAATGATTATTATCTGATAAATAGTTGGTCAATTCATCAGCATTAAATTCGTCATTATTTTCATCATATTCTTCTTTTATTTTCACATCTGGATATATATTATTTGGTATAAATTTAAATTCTTCTTTCAGCGGTTCAGTAGATTGATAATAACTAGTAACACAAGAATCATCAGGCATTTCACTTTTAATATCTAAATATTTATGACATGGAAAATATTTTGTTTGTTCACAGTCGTTTTGTAACCCAGAAAATAATTTATAATCTTCAATTTTAACATCAGCAGCAGTTATATTTGATGGTTGATCATAAAAAGTTGAAATATCATTATAATTTTTATAGTCCATAATATCTGGATACTCTTTTTTTATCATTACTTTAGTTTCTTCTTTGATATTTTTTATTTTATGTGGTAATTTTTGGTATATATTTCTATGGTTATGATATTTTATATGATATTTCTCATCATAATCATACATAAAATCGGAAAAATCTATAGTTATTTTAGGCCTCTTCTTTTGAATTGGATCTAGTTTCAATAATTCATTAGTAGAACTAGTAACATAATTAACAACGTGTTCAATTTTCTGAATATCTAAATATTTATTGCTTTGTAGATCTTCTTTATTACTTGGTGATTCAGTTGATAATTTACTCAAATCTTTATCATGCTCTAACATTTTGTCATTTACTTTATGATCTGTACAGGGAGTTAAACTTTTAATACATGGTTTAACATCCCAATCAAAATTACTAGAACTGGTACTAGGGTTACAACTTGTTGTTACTACATCAACATTAGGTTGATCAACATATTCAGTTGTATTTTCTTGTTTGATATTAGCTCTATTTGTTTTCAATAATCTTTCATACTCCGCTTGATCAAATTCAGTTTTTATTTCTTTTTTAACAGTTATAACTTTTTCACGCTCATTAATTTTCTTTTCAGGAGGTTTTCGAACAGTCATTTTTAGCTTTTTATTTTTATTGGTTTTTACAGGGCATAAAAAGTTAGCTAGTGAAAATTTATCAGCTTCTGACTGACTATCATCATTACTGTTGTGACGGCGATCAAAATGACTATGTATACAATCTCTTTTTACTATCATTTCACATTCATTACATGAAACTAACATTACTTTATCAAGTCGAGGGACTAAGCCAAATACAGGAACATCATCACTAGATAAAGTAACAGAGTTTTCTGATTTAACTGGATCTTTTTTCTCAGAGTCTTTATTGGAAACGCTATTCAATTTATCGTTGAATATGGACCAGGACTGATTTTGAGTTGTTTCAAAAACAGAGATTATGTCCTCTACAACTGGTTGTTGATTAGAAGAAGACGACATTGTATTCTAGACGCTTGGTCTAGCTGAAAAAAAAAATACCCAATATTTATTATTACACATTTAAGTATTAGAAAGTAATAAATTTTAACAATAGAAGTACATAATTTTTATTTTTGATTGATAGATACTAAAACATTTAATTTTTCGAAAACCCACAAACAACTGATAAGAAAATTTCTGATATAAGTATTTGTTATTTGTAAGGCAATGAAAAAGTATAAATATTATAATTAAATTAAAAATATTGTATTTAAAAAAGGTCTTAGAATATAAATTCATAGATTTAAATAAAGATATACACATATACGCATACATAACTTCATTTTTTATACATAAAATGTTACAGATAAATATGTAAGTCATACATTTATCTGTGCAAGATAAACATAACCCAAAATCAATAAAAAACAATCATTGATATGTTGTTTACTCTTAAACCACTATACAGTATACATCTTAGGACTAGAGCTTGAATTTAAATACCCAAAATATGTTTTAAAAAATAACCAAAAATGCTCTATAATATCCCTTTTCAACATAATAATGTCCTTAAAAAATGACTAATATTTTTTTTTTTATACAAGCAAGAGTAAGCGATGGTTTGATTTTTGAAATTTTTAACACTTTATCTTAACTAAACTAATAATAATCCTAAAACAAATTTCTGAGTTTAATACATAATTAATTAACATTAAACTTGAAATAAACGAAATTTTAATTTAACTTCTATTGATCAATTAGTTGCAATTTATTTGAGAATAACACTATAACCCATAATAGTTAAAGACATTATCACTAAAGTAGTGAAACTCAAATGTTAATCACCATAAATTCATTTAAGTATGTATTTGAAAAAATAAAAATGTGCCGTTATATATTTTAAATGTATTAAATAATATTGATTGATGATTATTTTTTCACAATGTAAAAAAAGGTTATTATTTCAAACTCAAAATAATGTATTACATACATTAAAATTATACAAATAAATACATGAAATACATTATATTAATGTGTTTCTAAAAAGCATACTCATCATACTAATATACTTATAGGTAAAATTCATAAAGCTACAAGTATGTCTTAAATATAAATTTGCAAAAATTATTTTATGTATAGTATAATTATTGTCAATTTAGTCATATTTGTAAACAATTAACCTTAATATTATCTTTAATTGTTTTTGTAACTTCTCAAAATAATAATAATAATAATAATAATATGAAACATTGTTAATTCTTAATTAGAAATGTATTACTAAATTTAGATTTCATGAGTTGAATGCCACTCGGGCATGGCAGAAACCTACGGGTGCCCACTAAAAAATTCTGCCAAATAGGCGTCCGAACTAATAGGCCTTTGGGTGCCTACTCCTGGACATTTGCGCCATACGCTTAATAATAATGAGTTGAATTTAAATCATATATTAGTATAATTCTGACTGCATTAAATAAAATATACTAAATCATAAACATTAGAGCTCTAGTTATCACATTTATAAATAGAACAGTTGACATTTTATATGAATGGAAATACTAAAAATCAATTAATGCAAATATAAAAACAATATTTTTTGAATTAAAATTTTTAATTTACTAATTTATACTAAATTCTTGTACAATATATTAATATAGTCAAAAAATTATTAATATGACCTAAAAAGTTTAAAAAAGGCCTTAAAAATAGCATCTATTGAATGAAATGAATTAATATTTATATTGTATTGTCCTAGAGCACTCAAAAATGTTTTTTGCATCAAAACAAAGCCCTACTAGTTAATCAGTGATATACTTGCATGGCGGGGCACGTGTCGTCTCCTTATTACTAACGTGCAATATAACAAATTTGTGTTCAAAATAACCAATTTTGTGTTGTTAGCATTAATATTAGAGTAAATATCTATTGACCTATCATCAAACTTAATAGTAAGAATCATCTGTGTTAATTATATGTAGGTTTTTATACATCTAAATTGTTAAAAAGTTATGAGTGTATAAAATATCACAATATAAAAATATTCAACTTACTTAAAATAAATATTAAACAAAGACAATGTTTTTAACTTTAAGTTTGATAATGGATTAATCAATTTTTATATTAAGGCTAAAATCATAAAATTAGTTCTGCTGAATGTTAATTTGATAAGTTATATGTCTATAAGATGGAGATAATATATGCTAGGCAGTTTTAATATTATATATACTCATAATATTACATTAAATTATATTCAAAAGAGGTATTAATTAATTTTTAAATCTGGATGAATATGTAGTATATTTGTGGATTTTAATTGTTTCAATTTCATTTTCTATTAATTAACTACTTAAATAATTTTTAATTAAAATTCTAACAAGGTATACGTAATGTTATCTGAACGATTAGGTACATAGTATACAACTACTCATACAAAGGAAAACTGATAACTTTTAATAGTAATTATAACTAGTTATTTAGCAAGTTTATATAATGGTCATAAAATAGTTTGAAATACACAGATATACATTTTCATACTATCATATAAATGTAATGTCAAAAGTATATCCAACTCAATGTAATGTATTACTATTAAAGTGTTTTTTCAGGGCATTTGTACATAATTTAAAAAGAGAATCGTTTTCGGATCTTGTGAGAGGTAAATGTAATGATAAAGGACATCAGGTAAGTAATTTCAACAGTAATTTTGAAGGTGATAGTGGAAATTATGATCAGAAAATTTAACCTATAAGGCGACTTTAAATTAATTTGATGGATAAGATTGATGCAACTCATTGCTAATAGGCACTCTGTCATTGAAAAATAATACAAAATTAGGTACATTCCATTAAATAGAAGAAAATGATATCGAAATAATACATTTTCCAAGACACAATGATTAAAATTCTTAAGCCTAATGGCTAATACAATGTCATCAGCGAGATAAACCATGAAATTTGGGACATTTGATTAATCGAGCACGTTTGTAATCATTACTTTGGTACACAATTATTGTTGACTAATGGCGTTAGAAAATTTTAAACTGAATTGTACAGACAACAGATCTCGCGATAAAAATCCAACCTCATAATATTTCCTTTGGGTCGATTGTGTTAAAAAAAAAAAAAAAAACAAAAAAACAAAAAAATAAATTTCAAAAACAAACACATCACTCGTCGCGACGAGTCATCACACCAATTCTCCAACTATTTAATTCTACCGTGGCCATGTAGTCCATCGTTTAAGACACGCCCATTATGTATCAAAAGTGTACAGTCTTCTAACCAATAGCACACATCAAGGGCGCCTAATTTACGTAAATACACGAAATCGTACACGGTGCGGGTCCAAGAAATACATATTGCGTCGCGCGACCACCGTCACACGATTCCGTGACATATTACGTACCTACGTATCGTACCATTCGTACCCATGCAATAATGTGCATCATATTTTTCAACCCCCCCCCCCCCCCCATTTAGGTAAACGCTTTTTGATTTTTGATACTCACAACGTGTGCAAATTTTTTTTCGTCGCTCTATGTATATATATATATATATATAAAAATAAATCTATTTATATATATATACACATATATACACATACGAGTGTGCCGTCCGCTTCTACATGGCGCTCGAAGACTCAGTTGTGTCTAAAACGATAGTACGACGTACGTCCGCGCACGAGAAAATTGCACGGATACTCATTGCCGTCGTACTCGTCGTTGTAGCAGTAATAGTAGTTGTTGTTGTTGTTATTCGGGGACTCGTCGTTCGTCACAGCCGTCATATTGACATGTCTGTGTGCGTTTTACAGCTTTGGAGATGGAGAGTCAGTGGCGTGAAGTGCGAAGTGAACGTGTCTGCGAGGAGATCAGCTGCGATTTTCGCGATACGTCTTTGTGATGCCAGTGTGTGCGTGCGTGCTCGTTCTGCGCAGTGCCCGTGCGGTTCGTCGGTCGGCGTGTACCGTGTGTAGTGTGTACGCGTGTGATGTGCGATGCCGATGCGTCTGGACGTGTGCCGTCGTGCCGTGTGTGCCGGACGAGCGCCGAGCGTGGTGGCGGGTGGCGACTGGTGCGCTCGCGAGCAAATCAGTGTCTACCGAGTACCGGTGCGCTCGCGAGCAAATCAGTGTATGCTGTCCGACCGCGCGAGAATAGACGCCGTGACTACCGTGAGAAGCGCTGAGCCGAACGTGTGCACTGTGCTGCTGCGGCCAGGCGGCGCCCGGGCCCCACTGCCGCTGCTGACGAGCGAGGCTGCCGCGGTCCGCGGCCCGTGGGTGGCGGCGGCCGTGGGATCGTCGGTCCCGGGACGCGCGCGGTAAACAAACGCCGTGAGGCCGCGGCGCGGTGCGACGAAAAATAAAAAAATAAAATATCGTACAAAACGTTACAAATCGATGTCGTCTACGAGTCGAACAGCCGATTTCGTCAGACGTGGTGTGTCGATTTCGTGGGTGGTGTGGGTGTGTGTGTGTGTGTCCTCGGTGTAATCTCGTGATTTTTTTTTTTTTTATTATTATTAATTTTTTAGCTGCGGGCACGGTTGTATCAACCAGAGTCGAGAAATCGTGATTCTGCAGCACCCCGTCTTTTGGGGCGGAGAATCGAATGTATTTAAAACGCGCTGGCGCGCGTTTCCGATGGCTTACAGATATAAAATACTCTTGTCCTTTCAGTCTTCGTCGACCGACGACTTTGTCAATATTGTTATTGTCGGTTGTCTATAAAGAAAAAGTTTAAAAAAAATCAAAAAAACATCGAACACATTAATATCGATTTTAAATATTATATGCTTCGGTTACCCGTGTTCGGTAGTTTGGTTGGCATTCCTGGACAGACGTGACGATAATGGGGGGAAAAACCAAAACTTCGTGGACCTTATGAAAACGAGAGCGACTTACTCGTGGTCAGATACTTATAAAATAAGTTTTTTTTGGTCGTGAGCTTTCCGAAGCTTGCACGAGTCATATGGCTGTTGACGATACTAAATAATACCAATTGCCATGGCTATATTAATATATGAGTTTAACCATGGATGTATTGGACAATATTACACCGTTGGAAATAAAAATAATAATAAGAATCTTGGATTTAAAATTAATCGTAAAACAATAAAATATATACAAATATTTAACATAATGTATAATGTATAGGTTTACTAAATGGTTTTTAGAAGTTTTCTAGTTATAATATCTTTTATTTCGCTTAAATTTATTTGTTCTGAAAATGAAAAATTTAATTTATCTGCATAGATTAAAACTTATCGATAACAATAGTTGTTACTATTTTTTTTTTTTTTTCTAAAGATGAGGTATAAATGTTTGTTAATTGTTATTATACCTTCAACTGTATGACATAAGCGTCAAGGGTACAAAAATTACATATCATCTGCGTCATAATGTGTGGGACGTAAACGCCAATCTAATATTATATATTACCTATGTTATAGGTACCCGACGTATGACACAATAGCGCCAAACATATCGTTTGATGTTTTGATTTTATAAAATTGATCTATAATATACATACAAATAAATATGATTTTAATTAATTGGTTGATTTTTTAATCCAATTTCTTTTACTTAATATTCCCTACGATTTATTTCACCATAATTCTGGTATTTCTTCCATTGTACAATTATTTCTCTTGGTACACCTCAATGTCCTCAATGACACATTACCTCTGGCCATTTCTCATAAAAATCTATATTTTTGGTCTTTAAATAAAATACACGCAACACCTTTAATAATAATAGTTTTTGTAAAATACATTTTAACGAATAACGCTTACACGAATGCTTACGAAATAGGTAGAAACAATTATATAGTTGTATAATACAAAACTGTTCACACACTGTCTATCGTAGTGACAATCTATTGTACCTAATCAGATAATAAATTGGTCGATTAAGATTAAACTTTGCAGTTTTTGAATGACATACTTAGTTCTAAATTTAAATAGCCTACGCCTACCTAAGCTACCTACTTGGCGTTTTCGTACGATACGAGTTTTTTTTTTATCTCATTTTGGCGCTTACCTACCTAAATTTTCCACTGATACTATCTATCCATTTCATTTTAAAAATTATTATTTACATTGTTATGTTTTAAATACTTATTAGTATTTATAATAATATTTTTTATACATTTAGTTATTTTACTATTTAAAAGAACCTATAAAACTGTGAAGTGTGTAGCATTATTAGTTGAAAATAATATTGAACTCAACTCAACCAGTGTAATAAACGACTTTATTTGCATTCTGTGCATAATCAATATATTAAATACTTAGGTCACAATAAATGTTGATTACATTGCTATGAGTTGTGTATGTTCAAGTTAAATTGAAAGTCATTACTAATTACTAGTGTTAAATAAGTTAATTATACATTCGATCTGAGCTACTTTACTCGTTAATCAATTAAAATTGTAATAGAATTAATTAAATTTTTAATTAGAAAAATAGATACCTATATATACTTCATATAATACAAACTATATCTTCTACTTTCAAGTCTGAAATAAAATATAACATATGTATTTCCTAATTTAAAAAATAACGTTTTCAACGTTCAGTGTAGTTCCTAATAGGTAGAAAATTAGATCTAGTTAATAATTCTTTTTTTTTTTTTTGGCGATGGGTGGTATTTAAAAATCGAGATTTCTACGAATTTTTACGTAATACCAGTTTTAGATAAACCTAATCGATTTTGTTTTTTTACCGTAACTTCTAATTCTAAAATAAATAATTATAAAGACTTGAAATACTCATCAAATATTTATACAAGTAGATATGCTTTAATTGTTTTAATATTTTGACTCTTGGTGTTATTTATGTATATTTATAACTGTTTACTTTTTTCTATTTATACAAGATTACAATTTAGTACGTAACAAAAAAAAAACAAAAAAAGAAAACATTGAACTTAAAATTAAAATTGTTTATAAGTTATTTTTACAGCACGTAAAAAAGTCATGGTTATAATTTTTTTTATGACCACGAAATTCACCAAATCATAAAAATTGTTATTTTTGAAATTTAAAATTAAAATTAATTTAATTTTGTCTCTGCTTAAGGTTTAAATATTTGTTACAAGATACAAGATTGAAGATTTCTCACGAATTCAGTTATTGGAAATTTAAGAAATAAATTCAGTTTAATCACAATAATACATTTTATGATCGATAGAATTTTTAAAAATTAATATTAATAAGCATTTAAAATTTATTTTATTTTTTTTTGAGAAATATATTGTTAAAGTCACCTTGTGGCAGCTTTTAATGGACTTCAGTTCTTAGATAATATTTTAAGAGTTCATGCCACAGATATCTATGGTTCACGAATTCTATTGAGTTAAAGAATATCCATTATCTTATTCTTTATCTCGTCGTGTGGTTCAAAATCATTATTTATCTGTTATTATTATTATTATCATAGTCTGTGGTCTGTTGCCTTGTTATTAATAGTGATTAGTGATTATATGTGGTGATAATAAAACGATATAAATACAATATGTAATAATTGAAAATGTATCAGAAATGAGTAATGAGTAATGACTTCAATTATGATGATCATCTCCGTCACTCTGTCCACTTACTAATACAAGTACTTAGTCATTCAATAAATTTTAACATTTAGAATAATTAATTTTAATTTTGACCAGATTAAAGTTACAAATTTGTGATTTAGTGTTTTAAGAAATTTAAATTTATAACTATTTGATAAATATAAAACCCCCTTAAATGCTTAAATATGTTTTTGGACAATAAAAATATAATATTGCTGTCAACTGGATCTTTTAATCCACCAACAAATATGCATTTGCGAATGTTTGGTAAAATATGTTATTATTTGTTTTGTAGAAACCATTAATATAATATTTTTCGTATGGTGTTGTTTAGAAATAGCTCGAGATCACTTAAATCGTTTGGGACTTACAATTTGTGGCGGTTTGATATCACCTACTCACGATTCGTACAAAAAAAAAAGTCTAGCACCGTCATTACATAGATGTGCAATGATTGAGCAAGCTCTTGTTGCACTACCTTGGGTGAAGTTGTCTGATTGGGAAGTAAAACAAAATGGTTGGACAAGAACGAGACAAGTACTACAATATCACCAGGTTAATATTTACTCATATATTTATGTTTATGAATTTTGATTTATCTCTTTTAATAATATTACAGAATCATCTCAATATGATCATTACTTCTAGACTAAATGATTCAATTAAAGTTGATACTTCATTATTACCAGTCCAATTTATTGAAAATCTTAATGTCAATAATTCTAACCAAGATACTGTGAATGTGAGACTTTTGTGTGGTGCTGATTTATTGGAGTCTTTTGCTGTTCCAGGCCTATGGAATGAAGATGATGTAAATATATTATTTATAAAGTCATTAGTACTGATATAATATGTACCACATATTAAAGAATTTAATTTGTATATTTATAAAAAATATTTTATTTTAAAACATAACAATAATAATGAATAAAATATTATTGTCTATAGATAGAAGCTATTGTTCGAGATTATGGTCTGGTTGTCGTTAGTCGATCGGGATCCAATCCTCATAAATTTATTTATGAATCTAATATTCTAACAAAATATATGGTAATCTAAGAAATTAATGTCCAAGCATTTCTTTATAAATATTTTTTTATATGAATAAATTAACTATTTTAGGCAAACATTATTGTTGTAACTGAATGGATAACAAATGAAGTTAGCTCAACAAAAGTACGTAGAGCATTATCTCGTAATGAAAGTGTAAAATTTCTTATTAGCGAATTGGTTGAATCTTACATCAAAGAACATGGTCTTTATGAATCTTTAAACCAGTAAGTAATACCAAAACTATATATTATACAAGGTGATTCTTTTTAATATTTGTTTAACATTAATTTTTGTTATTATTTGCTGCTAATTGATGAACAAAAACAGTAAGTACTCGAATAATGATAAATTCGATATAAACTTGAAAAGTACTTTTTTGTCATCCTCTCCTAGCGATAAAACTCTTAAAACACATCAAAAAGATGACAAAAAACTTAATATTGATGAACCTGATAATCTACAGTGTACTGAAAAAAGAGTTAATAATTATAAAAACTCTAAGGTAAGAAATGTTGTTGAAAGTAATGAAAACTGCTCTAAGGTTGCCATTTTAGTATCTGAAAATGGTATTATTGAAGTTATAAGTGATATGGAAACTATGGTTTGACATTAAATTTCCTATGTTTAGAAATTATGTGCCAAGTTTACTTATTTTTTGTAGTTATATTGTGATTTTATTGTTAATAATTGATTTTTGTTTATTCTTCCATTAATACTGTGATTTTAGTTTTAATTATCTGACAAAATATTACCAAATGTATTAAATTATTTAAAAAATTAAAAATGTCATAGATTAATTATAGGTAAACTTATTTTACTTTTAAGTGTGATAAATGATTATATAATTTTATTATTCAATCCTTATATAATATTATAAACTGACTTTTAGTTTATGTTAAATTAAATCTTATCTGACTAACGTATTATTTAATAATCAAATGTTAATCAGGTATTTTAACAAAATTTTAGATAGCATTAAATTTATCAATAATTTATCAAGTTTAGAATTAGTAAAATAGATACTTAGAGCTTGATAATAATGATAACTATCCAAAAGAGTAGCTATAAATAAAACAAATATAATTTTAAATCAATATATATATATATCATGTTTCAGAATTTTAAATTAGGTTAAATGTAGTATAATAAATGTAATTACTCGTGTGTTCAACAATTTTAAATGCAAAAAAAAAAAAATTATCGAATATTCCAAGTAATGAAATTTGACTATCACTTTAAATATTCATCGTACATTGTCAATTTTATATACAATAATTATGTAGTATAGTATAATTCATATTTGTCAATTATAAATTAATTTTTACTTTTATTTTGAACCATTAAATATTAACGCTTTGTTTTATAGAACTATAGAATTCCAGTAATTTAAGCATCAACCCCATAACAGTTTCAATTTTTTATTTTTAAATATAATTTTAATAATTTTAACTCTTTTTTTTCAGTCATTCAAGTAAAAATAGTACAATGTTAACTAATATTATGGTTTTTATTTTTCGTTGTTGTCTGGTTTGAGATACTGAATTATATATTTTTAAATAAATATTTACATCTGTAAATACTAAATCTACTTTTAAAGTTAAAATTCTTATTTAAAAATATATTTTCTAGAATGTCTGTAATATGAATTTTAGTAAAGTTTCTATTTTTATTTTATAAAAATGGAGAAAATAATTATAACAACTTAAAAATAATAAAATTAAAGTAGACTGAGAAAATGAGTAAAAATGTTAAAAATCTCTCAAATTGAAACAGAAAAATACTCAATTTAAAGGGTGAATGTATAAATATAATTTTTGTTTTTAAAATCATGTTTGTCATATTTTAAATGATGTGTACAAAATAATTATACTAATTTCGGTGTAGTTGAAAGTATATAATATATTATCTAGTAATTCATCATAATATTTATATTATGTTTGATTATATTATATTTAATTAGGTACTAGGTAATATTTATTTAGTTATACTAAAGATCATATTCTAATTTTTGTATATTATAGATGACAACATTTTTTTTTTTAAATTTATAGTTTGAGATATGTATAAGTTTTTATATGCCTTGTTGGTATTAAAAATGCATTATTTATTATTTTGAACTTTATTTATCTATTAATCTCTTTTTTTTTATCATTATTTATAAAAATTGATATTAAATCTTAAAACAAAATAGAAAATTTTGTCAATATTGAAATATATTTTTATTTAGTATAATTTTAATATATTACTTTATACGGTTCTTAGATTTTAGACAAGAATGTAACTAGTAGGTATATATTAGATTTCACCCAATAAAAATATATTATTTTTACATTTAAATTTTCTAAGAAAACTTAAAAATAATTTTATAAATTTTTTTGCTTTCTCAAAAATAACATTCTTGTTCTTAGTTATGAATGTTATGATTTAATACATTTGTAAGAAAAATATTTGTATTAATATAATAATTTTAGACATAGATAGCATTTATCAATTGAAACAAATAAAATTGTTATGAAGTTATTATTTTTCATGTTTTTAATATATTTTGAGATTTATAGGAAGCATAATTATGAAAGTTTTAAATAAGGTAGAATGGTTATGACTTATGCATTAAGCTGTATTTGGTTATTTTTTAATAAAATAATTTGGTATGTAATTATATAAACTATTTAAATGTAGGGAATATTTCTAAAAATGATTGTATTAATCATTAAAAAATAAAAAATACTGGTATCTAATGAATTAAATATTTGTGTGTTTTAATTTATTAATAATATTAATAGTCAATCTATGAAAAAAATTTGAATAATTTTATAGTATAGTTTGATAGAATTTCTATTGTCAGTAAAATTGGAAATTATAGAAATTATTATTTTATTTTTAAAATTTTTTAAAAACTAATCTAATGCATGATATTTTATTTCTATTGTAAATAATCATTAATCAATCACGCCTAATATTTTCACTGCATGTTATTTTCAGCAAATGTAAATACATTTGATAATTCTTTCTAATTCTTATTTAGTTTTTGCTTAATTCATTATGTTATATTGTCTTTGTTTTTACATACTACTACTATTAAACTAACTATTTAATGTTTGCTATGACAATAGCTACAATAGTCTTGTAGGTGTAAGTTTTGAAATTGATTTTGTAACTTAGTATTCATGAAATATATTTGCTTTAAATTTCATAAATTGTTTTTCGAAAAAACCAATATGCAGATTAATGTTTTAAGACTTTTTAAAGTTAGAATATTTAAAATTTAATCAGATATATTAATAATAATGTTTATATATTAAAGCATTAAGTCAATATAAATTATTATATTTAAAATAAATTAAATTATGCAATGTATATGAATATATTATATTATAAATTTATAAACATTGAAAATAGAATTTGGTAGGCCAAAGTTAATGTTGTATTTTGTTCATGTTTTAGTATAATATTTTAATTTCATTGTAGGTTATTTAGGATTTATGTAAAAGCTATATTTAAATATCATGATTTACTCAAAATTATCACTCACGGATATAACTGGTGAAATAAAAATAAAACTTTCTTTATAGTTATAAATAGATTAAATTTTCAGTTAATGGATTTTGATTAAAGTTATTTAAAAACTTTACAGAATACTTATTGCCAGAAAAAAAGATTTTTAAAATAAAATGGTAAAACTATTGCATTCATTTTTATCCAGACTAAAATTGAATAAATGAAATACTTATTAACCATTTTTAGTTTAAAGTATACTTCCAGGAGAGCTGTTAAACTTTCAAAATATGCGATAATTTTAATTAACACACACTTTATACAATATGTCACCAATTATACTTTACACTCAGATCTATGCACATAAATAACCTCTCTTAAGCAACATTTATTCTTTATAAATGTTATGATTCTTCTTAATGAACCATCAATGTCTTTAGTAGAGACTTAAGTACTCAGACTAAGTAGTTGGCCTATGGTGTAGAGATTTTTAAATTAATATTAATTAGTTTTACATTTTTAAAAAAGTGTGATTGCTGGATGACTATTTATTCTATTCTATATCAAGTGAAACTTGTAGCAACAACTTTTAGAATATATGCTTATTTTTAAAACTTAGATATTTATAGTTTGAGTATACCTATAAGACATAAAAACTTATTATTTCTTTTACTTTTAATTTATTATTTCTAGTGTTTTTTTTCTTTAAGTTAAACAATAATTAGTAAGTAAGTAATAGTTATAATTTTTAAGCATGTCATTATTTGTTTCAGGTGAAAAGAAAGAGAAAACGCTATCAGTAAATCAGATACTCTGTTTAGAAATGTAGTAGTAAATCAATTGTTTTGTTGTTGACTCATTTTTTTTTTATTAACTTAAATTTAAAATAGTTGCATGAATATTAATTCCATGATTTTGCCTGTTTCTATTAGTGTTATGATGTATGAGTAGGAATGGTGGTTAAAATGTTTTTTTATATGTACTTACATTATTTATTTTTTTTATTCAATTATTTTCAGTGTGTTATATTTTATTATTTTATATATATATATTATGATATACTTGTTCTGTTTATTTTATTTTATTGTATCTTACCTTAAAAATGTAAGTATGTTTCTATTATAATTTGTAGGTTTTCCTAAATAACTAATTAGTGTATTATAGTAATATAATTATTTTTTAAACTGTTCTTTATTATTACTAAAAAATAAAAATATAAAATTTTCAATTATAAACTGACATTTATGTTTTTAAAACTAACATATAAATAAGATATTTAATCAAGTAGGTATATTAAAATAAACACAGGATATTAGAAATTATTTTATAAAAGTAAAAATCAAAAACTTCAATGAAACAAGAATGTATATAAAAGAAGTATTTAAAAATTGAAAATGAAAAATGGGAGTCCTCATTTATAATTCATTCTTGTTTGGCAAGGAGAAATCCTAAACTAATATGGGAAAACAATTTACTACTTGCGAAGTAGTATAGTACTATAGTACCTGTTTTTTTCAAAATAATGATTCTATGAAAAATATATAGGGCCTATCTAAATACTTTAATAATTTTAAGCACGATCTCAGGGATATAAATTTTTATTTCTACCTTCCTAAAAGAAATACTTACATAACACTATATTTTTTAAGTAGGTAGGTATCTTTAGGTAACTTACTATGATATTATGTTTTACCTTTAAGTTTTTAGTTTAATGTATATGTATTATTTAACACATTTATCAGAAAATAAGATTAAAGAAATGGAATTTAAAAAAAAATGTAAAATGTAAGCATTGTCAATTTTAGTTTTACAATACTTTGTAATATTTAATAAAATAAAAATAAAAATAGATGTAATATTATATATTAAAAGAAAAATTGGCGCATAATATGGGGTTTACAAAAATAATTAAGTACATAATAATGTTTATAGTTAAATGATAGGTAGACCTCTAAACTATTTGGGTTCATTAAATTATCTATTCATCTATTAATTTTATTGATTTTTGTTTTGCACATGTTTAATATAAAACGTAGATAATTATGTCATGAATGATTCAAGTCAAAATATAATTTTTTTAAAAAAATTGTCAGTATTTAGCAGGTATCTTTATGATAAATTATATTTTTATATATTACCTATTGTTAATTTATATTAAAAAGAGGTAAGTACTTTTATACAAATATTTAAGTAGGCAGGATTTACCTATACAACTACCTAAGTGATTACTTAGATATTCAAATGTGTATTGTGAAACATAATTCGATTTCGATGGAGTGTTAAAAATAGCTTGCTTGTACTATAGAGTTGATAAACAAAGTACCAATATATAATAAAAGCATTTATTTTTTTTTTGAACACATGTTTTCTAAATAACCATTATATCTATGAAAAAAACACAACTTTTTATTATTTTATATCAAATACCTACCTACGTATTTATATTATTTATTTTTAGTTAGGTAAAAATCACGAAGATATCTTTTATAAGAAATAAATATGACATGATGTCGATAAACATTAAATACCTATCTTAAATTTATTTAATTATCCAATTAAATAAAGAATTTCAGGTAGGTACCCAGGTGGACAAAAAATTGTTTAGAAATCCAGAAAACGAGCGCACGTTTAGAGAGTAGGCTTCATCTCATCATCACTAATAAATCTGTTTATTTACCTATACCTATGTTACTATTTTCCAACATCGTAAATCTACTCATTTTTATTTTTTTACTTATTTTATTCAATATATTATGCTTGGAGCGTTTGCACGATTATTTGTACATAATATCCCATATAAATCTCGTTTACGTCGAACACTTGGACTTTCCGTCCACGTGGTAAAAGGGGTCGAAAAACAACAACAAACCAATCGGCCGTAGTTAACGTAAACATTCGGTGACTTAATTTTTGTTGTCTCGTAACGAAATACTATCTATCTACCCATGTTGTAACCTCTGCGGTAGGTAGTCATGCACTTATTGATCGTCTGACGTAGGTTAATACACTATAGTAAGTACAAGTATAGTAGGTAGTATGTGACTAAGGTGTAGTACCTAGGTATATCTACTAGATTTATAGCTGCACGACACGGTATTATATTATAATAGTATAATATATCCCTGCTGTCCAATAATAATCGGTAGGTATACCTACCGTGCGCAGGGGTAAGTACCTATACATATATATTACGATATCGTATGCAATTCTGTTCGTACGAGTTGCGACCCTCACGTGGGCCGATAATGTGCAGGCTTAGCGTCCGTTGTAAACGCAGGTGTATTATTGTTATTGTGAAATTACGTAACCGCGGTTACCTATGCACCTACTTCTAGTCGAGTTTGTCGATCGACGGTAGCAGCAGGTGCAGCAGTGACGCATTGTACCTACGTGTATACATTACCTACACACACACACACACACACACACACATATATATATATCATTTTAATATCATATTATCGTATATTATGCACCTAGGTATATGCCCACGTAGTGGCGTATAGATCCAGACGTAAAGGTGACTATGGTGACTACGACACACATTATTATAACGCGAGTCACGGGCGGGCGGTAAACGGTGGTCTAGTAACGCGGGTGGGGGATGGGTCCCTGCACGGAGACCCTCGATCGCTTTTATTGGATTGTTGTTCTATACTATATATAGGTAGGTATACGGGCGGTGGTATGAGCACGGCGCGATTAAGGGGAAGAAAAATAAATGGGAGGGTTGGTGTAGAGGAAGATAATCGCCCGGGTACCTACCTACTTTGGTAGGGCTTCGCGTGCAGTTCACCTTTGACGACGCCACGACCCCGTAGCTGGCCATAATGCGTGTATGTGCGCCGCGCGTGTGCATGTCGTATCTATACCTATTGTTTTAAGGGTCACCCAAGTCGTCTGGGCGCGCACGGCAAGACGTCGAGACCATAGATCACCGTAACGCAAAACCATAATACGTATTTTACTCTACATTGCGTTTGCACCGCGCCGTCGTGCGGCTTCGAGAATACCTATACGCGTCTTGTGGTACCTATAAACGCTTAAATAGATAGGCAAAAAGACATAGGTACTTCGACCGACAACCGTGCAGCTTCTCCACCACCACGATGTCGTGGTTGCAATGACGACGAGTTGCAGCACAGGTTAGATACGGGGAACTTCCGTGTGAATTATTTCGACTAGGTACCCATCTACATATACCCATTATCATATTGATTATACAGTTTACCTACTTAGGTACACCACACGTACCTCGTGTAGACGGTCATCGCGCGGTATCCGTACTTACGTTGAGCATGTTCATCCTTCTGCGACAGTTGCAGTTGTCTTCGGCGGAATTCGAGTGGTAACCGGTTTCCGAACAATATTGTACATCGTAGTCCTGGTCCTATATGGCAATATAGTATAATATCATAGTATTATTATTATTGTCGTGAGCGAAAAGTGAGTCTTTGTCATTACTTTTTTCGTATTTATAAGATTCTGAGCAGAGCAAATCAATGTATTGATTATACAATTATTTATAAATTTTTATTTATGTGTGTACACGATTTGTAGCAGAAAGAATACTTCAAAATTCAGTTTTGATCTTAGAGGGTGTTTTTTTTTTTTTTTTGTAGAAAATTGGATTTAGTTTGTGCTTTTGAGAGGTACAAATTGAAAACTCCCAGTACTTATTTTTCAAAATAATTGAGATAAACAATTTTTTTTTTACAAAAACAAATAAAACAAATAACTGTAGATACTTAAAATTTTCAAAATATATTTTGACTTTTTGAGTTATAGGCATTGACATTTTTAAAATTTTTTTTCTCTATAAATAACGAAAAAAATAAATATTTTGTCCGGTAAAAAGCTTAAAACCATAATAATTCAAGCTTCGTTATGTTATTACTAATGCTATTTATAAATTACAAAGACATTTATTATTTCCATGATTATTTCTATGAGCATTAAGCATCTGAAGTTCAATACCTATTCGTCAAGATCACGAAAGTTCGCAAATTATTTTGTAATGAAAATATATACATTTTTCAACTTTTCGACTTCAAATTATTATATGTTTCATTAATGTTGAAAAAATGCCTCTTTTCCAATTCCAATATCCCCATAAGTTAAATATCTCGGTGACTCGGTGTCATACTTGACAACAGATTAAAATAGAACTTCACAGATGAACTTGGGGTTCCCAAATAAAATCTAAAAAAATCCTAAATAATAGACTTAATTTCCTTTTCCTCGTTCTTATATCAAAACTAGTTTTCCACACTAAATTTATAATTTACAAATCTTTATTAAGACCTATATGAGCGTATGTAATCTAAATTTGAGAGTGTGCTTAGACATTTCAAATTTGTATCCTATAAGCCTTCCAATCTATCACGTTCTGTTTAAATTATCTCTTCTATACCACAGTATTCATATGTGTCGAAATAGAGTCAGTAAATTAATTAGCTACAAAACATTGTAAACAGCTTCACTACAAATTACACATATTCAAACCCTTTAATCGCTAAACTTGCATTAAACTCATTTCCCGGATATTCCCCCATCGACTTGAAAAAAATGGGTTAGGATTTATTTAACGATTAACGGTTTATTCATTATTTATAATTGATTTAACAAAAAAATAAAATAAATAATTATCGGTGTATTCTGTCAGTGAACAGCTTATAAATATCATTGTTATATTCTTTTTTGTGTATAATGTATCTAATTTTCTTATTATGTCTTGAAGCATAGATTGTAAATATTATTTTAATAATAATATAAAGTTAACATATAAATACATTTTTTTTTTTTAAATATTTGATGTTAAAATTAGGACGAAGAATAACAGTTTTAACGAATTCAAAAATATTATTTGCGGAGAGTTGAAACTCTTATGTATACTTATTAATTATTATAATTCCAATTAATTCAATATATTTAGAATTTAGATTAATATTAAGTTATTACTTAATATTTATACTACAAATTTATTTATACCATTTTATGGTAAGGAAAGGTACCTATTTACTTAAAAGTGAATAACAATAATAAATAATATAAATTTATATACTATAATTATAATTTAATAAATGTAATGTTTTCGAAAAACTTTAAATCAAACTACTGTAATACCAATAGTAAAATAAATAACTTTAATAGTGATATCAAAAAACATATCATAGAATAAACTTATTAATAATAGTTGACACTTCAAACATAGACTGTCTTTGCTCAAAATCTTCTTTTTTTTTTGTATATGGTTATAAAATATTACACAAAAATTACAGTGACTTCTAAATGACGAGGTACATTTAACATCTACTTTACACCCTCTTTCTCTGTTTGTTTTGTACTTTTGGCCGTGTATGAGACTGTGAATATATATATACATTATAGGTATTATATCTCTGTAAGCCTGCTGTTAAATCTTAATTGGGGATAAACACTCGAGTTTTGATAATCGCAGTTAAATTAGTTATAAATTATAATTATTTATAATGCTTATTTAAATTGATATCCAATATTTTAACATAACATTTTTGTCTTCTACACAGAAGAGAGCGTGAAGTTTCTCCGTTAAACATATAGACGACCGACCCTATATAATCTGAATTCGATTTAAGACACTTCACTTACAACAAACGGATTTTTTGTTCCTTTTGCCACTGTTATGTAAAGTCGTTTCACTGCAGAATAGTATGCTCTTGTTTATTGTAGTATAAATGTATGAATTTTATATATTTACGTATAGAATTTCAAATCGAAATTTAAATTAATTTAAATACCCACCAGCTTAAAAAAAATACTGCAGTGGCGTAGTTTCATTGATTTAATCAATAGAATAACAAAAAAAAAAAAAAAATATTAGGTATACGGTATCAAGTCGATGCAAATTAAATTTTAAGAATAAAAACCCTACTCTCAGTAAACTATTATGAAATTGACGGAGATTTAAGTGTGTTTTGAATAATTTAAAATATTTTAATCGATAGGTACATAAAAAAAAGTCATTTTGATACCAACGTTTAAGTAAATAGACACTCAATGGTGCATATTTTAAATCAAAGAGATTATTGCATACCTATAAATTATTCAATACTGCATTGAACATTTGCATTATATGTGAATATTATTGAAATACTATAACTATTATTGTTAATGTGACTAAATTATGTATATAGTCTAGACAGTACATGCAGAGAGCTTTATTTAGATTAAAAATGTACCTATTATTTATTGCTACGTGAGCTACTTGAAAACGATTTTACAGAGATGATATATTTTTATTATTAATAGGTATTTTCTACTGCAGAAAAAAAAATGGGGTTAATGCTTGTTTACAGTTTTTATGCGTGTGGGGATTCTTTATCAAAAATGGTGGTTGAAATTTTGTACATTTATCGTTCATATTTTATAATTAATGTACCAAAGATTATATTTAATTTTAGTTACATGTATTTTTTAGTTCATTATTATGGTGAATTTAGTCTTCATTAAAATAATTTTTTGTGCTAGAAATATTTTTCGTTTTACATTTTTTTAAAAAAAAATGATTTACGTAGAGTCTATTACGTAAATCAGTTTACGTCATAAACATTAGATTTATAACTCAATGACCTGAACTTCGACTAATCGCCTTTTTTTTTTTTTAGTTTAGTTTAGGACAAAATACTAATGAAAATTCAGGTAAAGAATTTGAAAAAATAAACCATTTTGATTATTAATACAATAATGAATGTCGATGATATTTCTGTACATGCTTAAAATACGAGTACGAAGTAGGTATATTAGTATATTACTAAAACTCGAGACCTACTTGTAGAGACTCGGGTTCATCGAAGATGTTTAATTATTGACCTTAATAGTTATTTACCAATCTACCAATATATGCATATATGCACCACGGTGTGTTATAAAATCGTGACTAAATTATTCCGGTATCATATTAAAGTACCTAAGTGGTATAAAATATTGAAATGTGATGCGTCCAAAGACATACTTTTTGATGTTAAAAAAATCTAATTCTCTTCACATACATAGTAGAAATAGCTATAGGTAAAAAAAATATTAAGTCGTTAGGTGGTTTGTAACATGTATAATGTGTATTGTACGATTTGGGCATTTGATTGAGATAGGGTAAAGCCTATGATATTACCTTTACATTGCAGTGCTTTATAACCAGTGCCATTATCATTATGTTTACGAAGTGGCTTTTATACTTATATATGGGTTATAAGGTAGTCGAGAAAGCGTGTTAGGGTCGCAATAGGTAATTTCATTTGTTTCTAAGTGAATGTGATGTATAGGAGCCGGGGTGAAAATTTTGCCGTGGGAAAATGTCCGCCCGAGTCCAATACAACGATATAATATAATAGGTGTCCCATGAAGATTTATTAGTATGTGCGGTGAGAGTATATATTATACTCCATAGTCTATATATAACAATACACTGCTTGTTTCAATTGAATTAGTAAATCTTTACGGGTTATCATGTATAATATATATAAAGCGTGTTCCGCACAGGGAGAGAGAGGTATATATTTTCAACGACCTAGTAATTTTCCCGCTATAAAACCTTCATTTTTCTTGTTTTTCCATTTTTTGTGAATTTTTATTAAATCAGCGTAATCAATCACAATTATTAGAGCTGGATTTGACAAAGGGTATTAGAGGCGATTGCTTCGTGTTTCGTTTTTTTGGGTGCCCCACGGCATTAAAAATTAAATACTAATAGTTTTCAAAAGTTATTAAAAATGTTTTAGTAAATTATTATGGCATCGTATAAAAGATTTTTACTTATTTCATTCATCTAGAAATAACCAATGCGAAGATGTAGTTATGAATATGAAGAAAATTTAATGGGATATGAAAATATGAAAATTACATTTACTATTGCAAGGTATTATGTCGTATGTATTGTCATATCTGACCGTTGGTTTTGTGTTTTTTTGTTTCGCAAAATAGTAGATGATCACAAAGAAAATGTAAACAAACCGATTGGCTAACTCAAGTTTTTGAAATTAATTAATGATTTGTTTGTGTTTCTTCTGATAAAATTCCGGACTCTGACCTTATCAAAGCTCAATGGATGGCTCTAAAGTCTAAATCGTATATGAACAGAGGAAGACTGAAGTAATTATTTTGTTACATAAATGGGTAATGGTCCAATATTTACTCTATAAATACAGGAAAGCATAGACTATTAAGTATTAGGTACCTCTATCGAGAACACCGAGGAGTATCAATATACCAAGTTCAGAGGCGGGGTAGAATGTTGAACAAGTTTAGAGGAATTCGTTGTGCGATTGTCGTAATAAAATACCGAATGACTATGATTTTTTTATTATATTGTAATTTACAACTTTTATTATCATATAAGTGATTCTGGTTTTTAAATATTTATGTTACTATGCCTACCTATTATTATGTATAATTATGTTATTTGTAAGCTATATATTTTGCTTTAATGAATTTTTTTTTTTTTTAATTTATCAAATGTTTATTAATTTATTAGTAATTTTTTGTTAATCTTAAATAATAATAGTAATTGGTATGTTCTGTGTTGAACGGCCTGAATCTCATATATTACACATAAATAGAATATAGATATATATATGTGTATTATTAAGTTTTTCTGAATGGGCGTTAATTATTTTGAATTATGTCTGTTATTTGAAAATCATGTTATTTATGTGAGTTTTATCGTTTGAGTTAAATATTGTATGATTAAACTTTAATAACAAGTTTTAAATGAAGTTTTTGATTTTCGAATATCATTACAAATTTATAAAAATACAAAAACACACACACACAATATATTATGATGTTGAAATGTTGCGTGTATAGTGAATTAAAAAGTTATATGATATATAAGTATATATAACTATTAGATTTTGAGATTTTAGTTATTATCAATATTAAATCTGTTAATAGGTTAATTTTAATACCTAGAATGGCAAGAACAGTGTTTTTTAAACTTTTTTATTCGTGGAGCCCTTTTTGATGTCAACTTTAATCATAGATATATTTTTTTTTTTTTAGCTTTTTAGCTCTTTTTAGGATTATTTCCAATAAAAATTATAATTATTTCTTATAATAATTATATTACAGAGTATAAAGTCTATATAGACTACTATATTATACATTATTAACTAATATATAAACATTTTTTCTCCTATAAATCGCTACTAATCTTAAGTTAAATATTTTAAAATAGTTTTCTCGAAAACGTTAAAAAAAAAATTACTTAAGCTTCACGGAACTCTGAAGTGATCTCTGTAGAACCCCAAGGTTTTGCGGAACACAGTTTAAGAAACGATGATTTAAAAGTAGTTGATACATATCTAAGATATGCAATGCAAATATATTATTTTTAAATTTATAAAATTATTGTTTGGTAATTTTTTTTGTTAGAATAATAAATGCTGTGGTTTTATTTTAATGATTTATTCCAGTATTTAATATGTTATTAAGTAAGTATAGATATTTGGAGGTGTTGTACAAGGGTGACCGATTCTATATATTTGGAAGTGAAGAGCGAAAGAAATGAAGAAGATTTAGGTGTATATCAGGGGTCGGCAATTACATTTTAGGGCAGTCCAGAAAATTTGAAAAAAAAATTTGAGGGCCAGTAAAAACTTTAATATTATTTAATAATTGTTGTGTTATCATAACTATTACTGTAAACAGCGATAAACGATGAACACTATAAGATAGATCAAATATATATTATTACGTGTAAAAAATTAGCATTAAAAAAAAATATTTTTCTACCAGGCAGGCGGGCCGCTATTGCCGAGCCCTAGTATAGATAGTTGTAAAAAAATAAATATTTATAAATAATATTACGTTTAAATTATTACAATATACTCGCATCATATAATTTTCAAATTCTTTTATAAATTTGGATATTTTACCAATTTTTGTAGTTAAGGCTATTTATTTTATAAGTAGTTTATTTTTTATTTGTTTTTCATACGGGATTTTTTTATTATGGTACACGTAAACAAATTTGATAATAATTTTAAATTGTTCTATAACTGCTAATAGTAGAAGATTTAAGTTATTGTAATTTCATGTTGAGAAATTTTGTTAATGCATTTTAAAATTAATTTAGAAACAAAAATGTCGTCTTAAACTTTAGCTTAACGTAATACCAACTAATTGTTTCAAATGCTGTTGTGTGTTAGTAAGTACAAAAGCCTGCTGGATACGTAGGTGTACGACATTTCACAGTTGGTAGTTATACAGGTTATACTACGTATATATCTACAGGTATTATTATTGGATTAGAGAATCGTAAGGGTTGGTTGTGTTGTAATTAAATTTGCAAGCGTTGAAACAAGTCGCTTATACTATAGTTTTCATCGTGCTCAGTAACTAAGGGCAAAATTTGTCAGATTATACATTACACGTGATGTGAATATTATTACATAACTTTTTAAAGATAACGCGCGTTAAGTGTTATATTATAAGTATATTAAAATATAAATATGTTTAGATATAATATAGCTATTATCAAGGTATATTATGTGTAGACATTTTAAGTTCATGGGTGTTAATTGGTCGGTGACACGTTAACTTATTGTAACGTCATGTGTTACTTAATTATGTCACTTAAAAATATCTTCACGAATAATAGTTAAGAAAATAACATTTTTAATCGAATTTACATTTTTAGAGCAGCAAAAATGGGACCACATAAAAAAAGTTTTATAAAATGTATTATTTTATTTAACCGAGGAATATTTTTACAAATTTTAATTATATTACTAGTTTCTGAAAAATTTACTACTTCGTTTATTTTACTTTATGAGATATTTCATGTAATTTTTTTTATAAAATTGTGTTCTTTAAATTGGTTAATAATAATAAATATAATGACAGTTTATTTTGTCAACAATTTGTGTCAGCTTTGAACATTATTATATTGTTATTTAAACTAGGTTAAAAACTGAATGTTTATATGAAGAGAAAAAACTTTAAAATTTTATTGCTCTACATCAAAATTATTATAAATTCAATAATTTATTGTTTATTGAGTCTGTTAACTGTTTTAATTAAATAACTTTAATGAACAAACTTTATAACACTTTAGAATGTAAAACGCATAAATAAAAGAATACAAACATAAGTTGGGCTGCTAGTCACTTCTCAACGACCGTCCGAGGCAAGTGTTGCGAAAAGAAAATGCTAGGGGTGACCGCGCTATATCACCTAATGGTGACATCGGACAGTTCCCCCCCTTTTCCAAATGTATTATTTAACGTTAGTTGTTAACTGGTCTAAATAACTTTATTTTTTAGTCACACTATTTTATTATACATATAATTGTATAATAAATTATTCTGTTAATAATATTGTTTAGTTTTATAATTTTAACATTAGATATTGGTAAAATATCTTAATGATACATTTTTAAAATAATTACATAAACTACCTACCTAATCTAAATAAAATATTCTATGTTATATAAAGAATTCATTAATTTTTTATTAAAGGATGGTAGAAAACATATAAAAAAAAATAATAGAAATTGACAAAAAATACATTTTTTAGGAAAATCAATTAAATTTTATACGTATACGTATGGACTCCCAAAAAAATCCTAGGTGCAGGCCTAAAAAGAAGTGGTGTCGTAGCCTTCAGCAATTACCAACTTAAAAATAACCAATAGTATTTAAATTAAACTCCAACCTTTTAACATTAAAATTAAAAAAGAAAAAGAAATATATGTATATAATTAATCAAGCTAAGTGTCGTCAGTGAATGGCTTCTTATTTAATATTTTACGTCTATGTTAATACTTTTACCACTTAAACTTATTGCGCATTAAATAATATATAGTCATATAGGTTGTTTATATTAAAAAAAAAAGTTTATGTGTTGAAAAAGTGGATGACAAGTAACAACCGCCAAACAATTAATCATTAGATAAAAATTAAATACAAAACTTGATATCTAAGATGTTTGGTAAAATAATTTTACTTTTAATAGATAAAATGCAGTTAGCAATAAGTCTGTCAGCCGTGTTAATAGCGTGCATGGTGCGGGCGACGCATAATTTGGATTGCGAACAAAATCAAAACGGACAGTCCATGAGTTTTTTTAAGACGAATGGTGATCTTCTGTTAACTGGTGAGTAAATTGTTCAAAAAATTTTAAAGTTTGTGCACGTGATTAATTTATGGATTTAACGCGCTCTAGGTTTGTTTGATGTCTATGACGAGAAATGCTCGGGCCCTACCTCTACAGGTATTCATTCAATGGAAATGGTAGCCACTGTTGTGCAAATTTTAAATTCGATTCATTACATCCCGGGCATTACATTAGGTATGTAAAATTAATGTAACAATGTGCAATATTTTAGGAAGTACCTAAATGGTAAGTATAAATTATCATGGAATTATTGTCCATTTGTCCATATGCCATTGATATGATTTCTTAATAAATAATTTTGTTATTCGTTATGGTTAATGGATTATTTTTTTTTATTTGAATTTGAAATTTCCTTTAAACAGCCTGTACATTGACTCTTTACCCATTGAAACGATTAACCGATATCCCCATGTCTCCATGATAAAGATTTACTCACAATGACTTCATACAAATACGTGTATAAATACAAAGATCCCACAGATTCAGGAAACCAAATGGTTCTTATCTCAGTTAAATCTTTACAACTCTAATGGTGTACCCGTTATATGTATTTAGTATTATGTTATCCAGTAATATTCTATTGCTTGTGGTACAGTATTATGATTACATATTTAAACGTTAATTCGTCGCTACTATCATGACTCAGATCAGGTCATAATCTCTCCCTTTTCCATTAATTTATAATCGTTTGGAAATTTGTCTCCCTGTTGCACTATTAATAATTAGTAATTACCTATGGGATATAATCTAAAATAACTGTTCCCTACATTTAATTCTCAATGTCTGTCTGAAAGGAGATTAGGAGGTTGAATTCCATTGGCTCGTAAATTAATGGACAAATAATGTTTTCGTTACTGGATAATTTCGCGTAGCATCGGTAAATAATTATATCGTATGCAAATGGTATACTTGTATATTTATTAAGTCTTGTCACTTTGAAAAATTGACAGTGAATATGGCACAAGTAAATGAGGTAAAAATTTTTTTTTTCTTTTAATCAATTCATTTTAGTATTTTACAAAATCATAAATACACATATTATGTATAATTTGAATAATCATCATAATAAGTGAATTAAATTAATGATTAATGTATTTTTAATACCTAACTAATGAATAAATGCATAATTTTCTATATTTTTTGTTTGATTTTTAGACGTGTTGTGTCGATCTGTTAACATAATACATTTTTTAAATTTTAAATTTTAAATTGTTTAAAAAAATAAATAAATGATTTTTAAGATACCCATTTTTATTTAATTTGTATATAATTGTGTAAGAATTAAAACCATTATGGAATTCTATTAAATTTATTCTTTTGTTTCATTATAGTTGAGTTTAATAATAATAATATGTTGTTGGAATAATTTAATTGCTTGCCAATAATAAAATTATTACCTTACAATGTGTTGAAGAATGTATTGATGGTTGTTAATAGAATAATGGTCAAAATATATTGCAATAAACTTCAATAAAATATAATTTATAATATTACATATAAATTATAATTAAGTATGGTTGTAATAAAATAACATAATTTATTTTGGACAATCTTATTTACATGGCTACACAGTATACAATATTTATTAATTGTGTATGCAAAACTTTAAAGGTTAGGTAAATTTAAAAAAACGATTTCCAACAACACTTGACTAGAAATAAATTAATAATTTCCGTTTAACGTATAATATTAGGAAACAATAAATTGTAATCCTTTTAATTTTCCAAAAAATCCAATATTATTCACTTTTGTGGTGATTGAAATTCAATACACGCAATCGTTTTGAGGAAGACGATGTTGATTCCACCATTGTAGTTTTATCAAAACGACTATTTATCTATAGTCAGTAAAAGTTTAATTTATAGTTATTATAAGTGTCAGGTGCACGTCTGCACAAGGTATCCAGTTAGAAGATTTATTACACCCTAACCTGAGTTCTTAAATTAATTAATTAAAGTTAACAAATTTTATTTTTTCTCATCTATTTCATCAGGATTAACTTTGTACGAAGTATGTTCATATCGAAGTACAGATCTCCAGAAAGCTTTGATATCGTTTGTAGTCGACAAAGATTGCAATAACTCGACAATACCAATTGGTAATTATTACTAAATATGTGCTCGATATTATGAATCTGTAGTAATAAACATCCATGTATAAAAAAAACATATTTTTATTAAATTAAATTTTAGCCATTTACACTACCGAAGACATACGATCCAAAATCAACCAGTCGGTTGGTTTGGATATACCTATCATAACGGCAGGACCCATCATTGACGTCGAAATTCATGCCGAAGCGGCCGTTAAGTTTTTAATCGTGAACAATATTGATGTCGCGGACGTATTAATCGCGCAGGATCCGGATGTCACTCAAAGATTTGAAAGCGTAGCCAGAGACAACGGACTGTGTTTGAACAGAACAGTCTTGGCTCACGATTTTGGGTAATTACATCGTTCCTACATATTATAATATTTGCGGCGAATTCGTGATTTCATTTCGAATTGCTTTTAGTGTTTAAACTTGAAAAACGGTTGTTTTAGGAATTTGAACGACTCCTCGGTAGTCATTGTCATGACCAACAAGGATATCATCAAATCGATCATCGAATCGTCTTCGGCCGTCCGTATATCTCATTACATCATGATACCGCTTGACGGGCCGTTACCGCCTAAACCGGGTACGTATACCTATTACCTACTATTCGTTCGGACATTTCAAAACGAAAAGAACATTCGCTACCTAAGCGATTTCGGGTTTAACCGTCACGAAACGATGACGCTTCCGGATCCGGACTCACGGAATTTTCACATCCTCCCTCTGTTTCAGACTTTGAGCACGGATCGTAGGTTACGTATTGCTGACAGTTGCCAGCATGTGGATCGGTATGGCGAGTACAACGTGACGTTGGTGCACGTGACCGAGTACGGCGGCGGGCGAGACGGCGGCGGCCGGACCACGGCAGCAGCGCAGGACCTCGAACGGCACCCGCCGGCTGTGGCTGCAGCGGGACGGCGGCGGCGGCGGCGGCGGTCGGCCAACGACTGGACAAGTGCAGCGAGAATCGCCCGTTCGTGCCCGACGGCCGGGCGGGCCCGCGTCGGCCGCCGCGCCGATTCGCCGCGCGGTCCGCTTTGGTACGGAAGGAGGACGT